TAGCTCTAAATAAATCAAGGATAATAATCCAATATAACTCTGTCCATTTTCTCAACACAATCAGAATACAACTCTCTAACTCTGCATTCTTCTCTAAGAGGGAAGCTTCCAGTGTTTAAACAGCCACATTGTCCAAGTATAAGGACTATATTTCTTAGCACCTGTTGCTAGTACTTCTTACTGCTAATAAGCTGAGGCCAGTAATATTAGAGTATGTGTACCACAACTAAGAGATGTTATGAAACACATACCATTTCATATTACTTCTCATGTTTGTTGCTTTAATGCAGATTAGGTAGTTTTAGTCAAGATAACAAATTGGATTGGGAGATCTTCTACAATGCATATGTGGTCACTCCATGTTCAGTATCACTGTGCTAATTTGATTTTCATAAGTAGTAAATGAGGCATAAGTAAGGCTGTTTATTATTTTCATGGCACATAGGGGGCAATGAAAACTTTTTTTGCTATCAATAACTTTCTAGTTATTTTTTCAGCTAGTAAAGTAACAATATAGAAAGTGTCTGGCCTTCTAAGAGCTGTAATATTTGCTATGGATTGCCTTTACCTGTATGAAATTTTATAAATGAGAAAAAAAATCTCTAATTTTATCTTATTTGTTCTTAATAGTCACATATTAGCTTTATTTTAGGTTTTTTTCCCCTCTTGGTCATTCTCAAATTAATGTTAACTGATAAATTTGGTAAATATAAATTTGAATGGTTATTAAGTTTCTAAGAAATCAGTGTCAAGAGAAGAACAAAAAAGAATTCACAATTTAGACCTCATCTAATAATGGCTATGAACACAATATATTTTTTATGGAAACATAATCACCATATGCCAGTTTTCTTCTTGATGTTCTATGGTACCATGTTTCTGATCTGTAGGGTGAGATTGAAATAGTTTTAAGAATGTAGCTTCAGAGACAACAGAGTTGTCTCTGCAAAAACAGAAATGTAACTGGCTATTCCTCTCCAGAACTGATTGCCTGGAGCAGCTATTATAGCTGATGTTTTGGACATTTTAGTGAGTTGTGCAATCACACTGTAAATTATTGTTGCGTTGGGAGTTTTAACTGCTGAGATTCCTTTGTTGGTGATTATGCTTGTATTCTACGGCAAATCACTGGAGTAAATATTTTTTTCCCATGGCTCCTTTCTCATTTCCAATAACGATGCCCAGAATTATTTCTCTATACCTAGATCACTTTCAGTCAATGGGAATTGAGCACTGAGAGGATTTTGTACAAGCTATATACATATATTTAGAATCTTTAGTTTTCATTTTTTAATTTTTGTGCTCCTCCACTTACATTTATTTTAAAATGATAAACATCATTTTGCTAAGGTGTTTGTTCACAGTTTGTATTCTGGTTTAACTTCAACACTGCAAAAGAAGACAAAAAAAAATTTAGCAATTAGAAAAAAGGTTCACAAAGCAACCAAACAATGTCATTAAAGGTCTTGCTATGTTGAAGAAACTAGCTCCACAGGGACTTGAATATTTTTCCTTTAAACCAATTTGTCTGCAGGTTATTCCCAGAGACACAAAGAAACCTGATACCCACCAATTCTTGGTGGGAAGTACTAAATGTCACACATCCTTACCTCCTTCAACAACAAACAAACAAAAAAATCTAGTTCAAGATGTGTCTTTTATGTCACTATAGTCACAGCAGGCAGCAAGCCATACAGATTTAGCCCAGCAACCCAGTTTAAATTTACAGTGGTGTGGGGAATAATCCCAGAAAGCCTGTACTTTTAGTTTCTCTTAAATTCAGGCTGATTTCTGAATTTGTTCAGCCTACAGCACTCCGTGTTCCTCCTGTCAGCTTGATCTCTGCTCCTTTACTCCCTGCTGACTTGAACTCAGTTCTGCCTCACCTTGCCGCTAGGAGCCACTATACTGAGCCAACTCACAGCTCCTCTGAGTTCCAAGATTAAGTTAGTTGCTTTCCAAAATGACCACCAGCCTATCACCTTCTGTGAGACCTCTGAACCTCAATAACTCACCAACCACTTCAGTCCATTGCATCCATTGCTTTTCCACCAGTGTGTTTCTCTGTGCTGGCCTCTTGCGTCAGCAGTAGTCCCTGGGTGTCCGCAGATTTGAGCCATCCCTTTTACGCCAGTAAGTCTCCTATCTGAGAAAGTACAGTTTACCACCTACTTCTTTGTTGAGCTCTGTCTCTTTGCTCTCCCCAAGGGCTTAAATTCTCACTTCAGATCTTTGCTGGGTCTCAGGGATTCACTTCCCTCATTTTTTCTTTTCCTCGCATTGCTATACACAAAATCTCTCTGCTCTACACTACTCCACCATTTTCCCAGAAGTTCTCAAGCCTTTCAAATAAAAGGCAGATTCCTGTGCTCCCACAGGGAATTATCTGGAAAACAAAGAATTTATTATTGTTAATTGAAAATTCCTTTTTTTTTTTTTTTCTGGCACCCTCTTGAACATGAGAAACTGTTCAGTGAACAGTTGCAGTGAACGTGCAAGACATTAACTCGGATTTTCATAGGCAGTGATGCAAGGGAAATGAAGCCAGGGAGGTTACATGACAAGACATAAGTAATTTATTTCCACTCTCATAAGTAAGAGGGGAAACCTATAAAGGGTGATATTATTAAATCTCAAGTGTTGGTATTTAAATTGAACATAGTACTTTAGCATTGCCTAAAGGAGATGTGAATAATTTAGAGAAAAATTTCAAACTTATTTATTATTTAATGGATGAAATTTTCATTTATCTTGTATGTCTAGTGTAACCTAGACCTGTGATTTATAAATTATATTGATTATTTATTTCAGAAATGGATTTTTTCTTAAAATGATGAATTTGTAGACTGATTCATAATTTAAAGTATGCAGAACAAAATTATAACTCAAAAAATTGAGACCACTCAGTTTTTCAAGATGTGTATTCTTTCCTAGTGGCTACTCTTGACTTTGAGCAAGACAGAAAGAATGAAAGAAATGTAGCCTTAGGAAAATATATACAAAGGGAAGAACAGAAGTTTCTAGTTGTGTTCTAGAATTATCTGAATTGAGAAAATGGAATAGCCAAATCATTGTCCATCTCATATCTTTGAATTTAATATATTATCTTTAAATCTGATCTTTTTGTAAAAAGCCTAACCATGATAAAGCATATACATTTTTATATACTCCTTTGATTTGTTTTTATATCTAAGAAATATGTCCAATAATTAAGTAAGATTATATTACTTTAGCAATTTTTGGAAAGACAGCATAATACGACAATCTCCTTGTTTATATTTTGTTATTATCTGAAATATATTCAGGCTTCCTTTTCTTTCTCCTTATTTTTCCTTTGTTCTTTTTTGCTCTTATCCTCACCTTCTGCGGCTTAAGAGCAATCCAAAAATAGTTTCAACTAAGAGCAATAATGGTTCAAAGATTTATTTTATTGTCAAATTTTATGAAATGTAATAATTCTAAAATGAAATCTAACTAGGATCAGAATAAATCAAATAAAATAAAAATTAGTTGTCTTTGGCTCTCAAACTTTGGCAGTAGGGAATTTACCTTTGTATGCTACAAGTTCTTATCTTTAGGGAGGAATCATAATTTCTAACTTCCACAGGTTTTAGTAGTTTTAAACAAGGTGACATTTGCAGTGCTATACAACGTTTAAACAGAAAATACCTGGGTAGCTGTTAGTAATTTCGTACAATTTATCGAGCCATTGTTCTGTGGCAGACCCTTTGTTATACAGTATCCTCAAATATATCTCTTTTGTTCTTCACAACAATTCTTTGATAATGGAGCTATTATTCCCATTAATGTAGCTGAAGACACTGAAATAAGAGTCTGTATCACTTACTCAACATCATTAAACTTGCAAAAGTATGACTGTAAGGCTCAATACAGAATATTACACTATTCTTTTCTATAGGAAAACATAAAATTTTCTACCCAATCATGGTATTCACAATGTATTCTAAAGAGTAGTTACTGATGTTATAGTAATTTAAGCCCATCTATGGAAATAGGTTCCTTAAAAGTCCTTCCTAGAAATATAATAAAATCAAAAAACTAACATAAAACAACAGATTTGCATAAAGCTAGGGTCACTGTGACATATAGTCTATTCTGAGTATGCAGCAGAATAAGAAACAATGTAGATTTAATCTCCAACAATCCATTTCTTGCTCAAGGACAGACGCATAGAGTTTTATCTTCAGAAATTATCAGTACTTAGAAAAATGTGAAATGTGTGTAAAAACAAGGCTTTTTCTACCCTCTGAAGAATACTGTTAAAATTTAACTCACACTATATATACATATGTGTGTGTGTGTGTGTGTGTGTGTGTGTGCGTGCGTGCACTTGTGTGTGATTATTCCCTACCCTGTGTCTTCAGGGACTTCTTTCCAAAAATCTGGGAAAATGTTAAAATCTGCAGTAGTCAAAGTTCTTTATATAAAATTGTATAGTATTTTTAAAAACTATGTATGTTCTTCCATTTTTAATCATCTCTAGATTACTTATTATGGCTGAAACAATGTCAATGCTATGTAAATAGCTGCTAAATTGTATTGTTAACCGAATGATGATACAAGATATAGGTGCATACATATTCAGTCCAAATAGAACTTTGCTTTTTTCTACAATGTTTTCTATTTGTCATTGGTTAAGTCCACGAATACAGAATATATGCACATGAGCCACTGCTGGTATTTATTTTTCTGTGGACTTGTTCTCAAAATTCATTAATTCCATAAATGCACTTAGATTTTATGATACAAATTGTAACAACTGGAGAGTATTCTAAAGAAATAGAAGATGTTTATATACTTTTTTGTGACTACATACCCTAATTTGTAAGTTTTCTGAATTAAGAAATGCCGAGGGGATTATTAAAGCATGCTTCTGGGTGTATCTGAATGAATCACAGACATGTGATATTGGGTAATGTATTTGTTCTTTGGCTCCTTTCTCTCTGAAACTGTTCTCATATGCAGCTTGTTGGCCGTATAAACTGAGCAGATGAGTTCTGCCTTTCTCTTCCACCAAGATGACTCAGCCTTAGAGCCAGCTAACCAGGAACAAAGTCCTCAGAAACGATGAACCAAGTTAATTCACTCTTCCTTTAAGTTTTGGGGTGAGTATTGTTTCCCAGCATTAACAAAGCTAGTACATTTTAGAATTTGTAATTTTATATGAAAGACAAGCAATTCACATTTGATTAAATGAATAAGAAACAGAGAATGTAAAAAGTTCAGTGAAGGAAAATTATACTTACATACTTGCAGCTGTGTAAATTGGTAAAGAATGGCTTAGGTGATGTGGTCACAGAAAATGTGACTCATTGAAATCCCTTGTAAGATATTTACATGATACAGTAGGAAGGAGCCAAGTAAGTAAAGAATCAGAACTGTGATTATGATAAAGGGACTTCAAATATAAAAGCAGTGAGAAGAATGAAATCAACATGCTCTGCAAAAAAAAGGAAATCAGTGTGCATGGATTGAGCAATTTGGAGGATGACTTGAAAGGAAATTGGGGAAATTTATAAAACCATAACTGTCTTAGTCTGTTCAGGTTGTCATTAGAAAATATCCTACATTGGATGGTTTAAAAAAACAATATATATATATATATATATATATATATATATATATATGGCTGGGAAATAGGACTAGAGTGTCAAAATAATCAGGTTCTAATAAAAAGGTTTTTTCCCCCCCTGGTTTACAAATCTCTTCCCCCCTTGGTATCTGTTCACATGATACAGAGGAAAAGTAGTCTGGTCTCTTCCTCTTCAAGTAAGGGCCTTGGTCTCGTTCGGATTTTGGAGGGAGATAATTTTACCTGCATGCTCTCATTTAAGTCTAATTTCCTCCTAAAATTCAACCTCCAACTACCATTGCCTTGGGCATTAGGATTTCAGTGTACAAATATTGGTATATGTAATACTCTTGGTCCTTGCCCAAGTAAACAAGATATAAGACACTGATTTCAATATGTGTGCCTTGTGAGTAGGCAACAAAGCACTTGCAATTTTTAGATTCATCACAAGAAGGTGGGTCTATGAGTTTATAAGCACCTTATGTGTCTCTCTATGAATTGTCGTTTTATACTTATTTTAGATAGTGGCTGTCAGTAAAGCAATGAACCCTATAAAGACAATAGGATTATCCTTTCACTTCTATTATCATCTGTCTCTTTTGTAACCTCCAAGTTCTTTCTGCTGGTCTCCTGAATGTAGGTATAGAAACACAATATTCATGTCTGCTTTATTCTTTCATGTTTTCTTCCTGTAATTGACAGTCTTAGAAAATGTTTTCATTTAGTGGGAGTCTTTTTATATAATTTCCACTCTCGTCCTAAAGTATTGTGTGCTCTTAATTCTTTCCTGTAGCTATAATATTTGAATAGATTTAGATTAATCTGGCCTGTCTACTTGTCATGGTTTATGTTGGTGGCCCCCAGGCCTCATGCATTTGCATTGTGTATTTGTGATTGTACATTGTCTAGCGCTTGGATTGAGGCTGTGAGTGCTACACTGGCCTAGGGGTGGAGCCAGCATTATTGTAATGGCAGGAAGAGGATGTCTCTCTCTTGCTGGTTTCTGCCTTGATGTTTGCAGCCACTGTGAACTGCGGCCCTGCCATGCCACCCTGCCTTGGAGCCATTATGGACTGAAACCTCCAAAAAATGTAAGAAATAAACCTTTCCTTTCCCAACTTTGGGCATCAGGTGTTTTGTCTCAGCAACAAGTAAAAAGTAACTAAGATACTACTGTAAGAGTTGAAAGTGTTATTGTAATATTTCATATTTTTCCAATATGTATACTGTATCCATGCATATGTGTGAGGTTAATTTACTTTGCTACCATTTATCAGAAAATCTTAAAGAAACAATTTGATAAAAACACTTTTAAGTCAATTTTTAAGAATGTAGTTTTCACTCTTTATTACTATTTATGCAAGGCCTAATGTAAAATTTTCTTTTGTAGGATAATTATTTGCTCTATGGCTATAATAGTTCAAGTATGAGTCAAATATTACATATTTTTAAAAATCTTCATTTCTATAAAGGTGATTATCATTTTGACATTATTAATTATAAAATCATGACAATAAAATGTTTAATATTTTTATTTCACAAATTGGAATACTCATGTAGTTTACTGTTAGCTTTGTGCATTTATTACTCAAAGAGTAATTAGAACAAAATTAACCCTAAAACAATCGTTTAGTGACTTCACGTCTTTCTTCAAACTCACAGGAAAATGGAAATGCTACACGCAAAATATGAGATGAGTCTTCAAAAGAACATTTGGTACATCAAAAATTCATGATATGTGCCAGGATAAATTTGGTCCTACACAATTTTTCTGAAGCAATAAAGTTTTAAAGATATTTATGACTTTTTTATATAATACATTTGAAAAAAGTTATAGAATTAATAAGTTTCAAAGTAAAATATTGTATTACTCATAGCATATGAAATAAAGAAATAGGAAAAATAAGATAGATGAAGATGAGACCAAGGATGGGGACCTGTAAGTATTAAAGCCATCCACTTTAGGAAGAATGATTTGATTAAATGCCTAAAAATATAATGTTTTTTATATGTACAAAGTTATTTCACAATAGATTATTATATATGTTATAACATGTTATACAATGTACATATGTGAATATTGTCTTTTTTAGGTACTATACTAAAATATATTTATTAAAATTATGAAAGTTTTAGTTATAATTATCTTTCTATATTTGTTTAATATCCTTTGTCCACCAAAACAGACAAATAGTATTTCTTCGGGGTGAGAAAAATGCATAGTAGTTTCCCAGTTTTTCATGGATATTATGAGGAAGGGTATATATCTCATAAGAATTAACCATTTTTCTCAAGGAAAAGTACACTTTTGATACTAATTTTTTTGTCCTGGGTGACACATAATGAATGTAAAAACAAAGAGTAACCACAAAGAAATAATACTTAGGCATTTTAGCTATGTAAAGTATAAAGAAATGAATATTAAAGTGCAAATATTGATAAGTGAATATGATTCTTAGACTGATCTTTATATTATGCACATGTTTTAAGACATGAAGTTATTTTCAAAATGTCATACCTAAAATTATAGGTTTTTTGTAAAAAGTAAAAGGAATTTGCTTCAACAAATATGTAAAATGTACAAATCACATTATTCTAATTTCTACTCTCACTTGAAAAGCTATAGAAAGGTCAAGGATTAATATCACGATCCTTGTCTTCAAAGGATTTAAGATCTTTAAAGGGTCACTTAATATATTTTAAGAAAATTTTAGTCTCAATAATAACAGATTTGAGAAAATAATATCAAAGCAATTAATGAAGAGACAGAGACACAGATCAGCGTCACAGCTACTGCCTGGCAAGTACCATGTCCTGAGTTCAGTTCCTGGTACTAACAAAAAATGAATGGTAGATTACTTTGCCAGTACCTAAAAGTGTGAAATCCTGAAAATGAAGCACATGTATATAAGGCAGGATCTAGAAAATGTTGGGTTATGTTGCCCTTACTTGAGAAAAGGGGCCAACTATAGAAATGAGCAAACCATTATCATAGAACATTTTTCTAATTTATAAGTACTATATTTAAAGAGGTCATTTTGAAATAGATGAAAATGTCTGAATTTTAAAAGCCTACTTAATTTAATAAGCAATGGGGAATCATAGATTTTTCATGAATGTATTTTTAAAAACAAAAATATTGTGATTTGGTCATCAGATTTTAGAAGCACATTTTTGGGGTGCTCCATGCTATCTGCCTTCTCCACCAACAGTTTTCCTATAGAAAAAGGTAATGCAAAGTTACGCACATTGTTCTTCTATATTCCCTTTTTGAAAACGAGATGTTAGGATTAAATTAGTACGTACTACCAAACTTGAAATTTGGACTATATTTGACTGATATAAAGTAAGTTGAAAAATTTCAAGTTAAAACAATGACAAATTTATAGAATACAAAATCTTAGAGGTAAAAGGAAGCTAGTAAAATTTAAAGACATGGATCACAGAGAAATACTGTGCAAGATTACACTAACTTGATTAATCTTTTAGTAATGTATGCTTAAATCAAATATCACTGCACACTCTAGTGATGTTGAATCTTGTAGAAACCAGCTGCTCAAACTGCAACCCAAAAGCCACTTATTTTTTGCAAAATGTCAGTACTGCAATTAAACCTAAATATTGAGGTTTTCATTTATAATAACAACTCATACATTAACATCTTTTGTCTTAAAAAATACACGTTTGCCACTTCAGTCATACAACATAAATAAATATTATACCATAATAAAATGGGGAGGATTGGAAGAAAAGGAGGAAGATGGGTCCCACAGAATCTTCTTATTTTATATTTTCTTTTTCTTTTCTTAATACTGCATGTTTATCAAACAGAAAGACTTTGGAAAGCTTTAGTGTATTCTTCCAATAGATTTCTTGTCTAGGAAATTAATTTCCATAGAGATTTTGGGATAGTTACACAAATGGAAAGATCAATTTCTAAGATGGCTAGGTCTACCTTTAATAGTGTGAAGTTTACAGCCAAGCAGCTTTATTAAGAAGAAGCATAGTATATAAAATGTAAACAAAGCTTATAAAATGGGCCCATACTGATTAAATTTAGTTCATCCATTGTCCCAATGCAAAGAAGTAAATGCACTCTGGAACTGAAAAAGGATGACCACTGGCTAAATGGAGGACTTCTTGGGAGAAATGATATTTTCATGGAAATGTAAGAATACTAAGATTTTAGCTTTCAGTGGGTAGAACAAACATTCATTTTTCCATCCAAACTGGAGCGCTTACAAGTGAGAGGTAGCCCAAAATCTGTGAGCACGATTTGATCACAGAATCCTTGGACGGGCAAAGCTAGTTAAACTGACACTCTTCATGGCAATAGAGCATCATTTGCTAGAGGTGTTGTCGCTATGATTTACTAACATATAGTTACCTTACAAAGAGAACTCTTCAAATCCAGCTGCTGAAAACATAAGAGAAAAATACAAAAAGTATAAAGATGAACTGAAATCACTGGAAATAACTTCTTTGGAAGACATGGAACTGCAACCAGGAAAGCCAGGAAGATAGCATCCTGCCCACTTTGGCCTCAGCCGAATTGACTTTAGATCCCTGAAACAGTGCACGTTTCCCTCCGTGGCAAACCAGAGGGCAGCTTATCTGGGTCAGTACCCATGTGCCCTCCCTACATAATGCCTTTCCTGCAACATTGGAATCAATGATAAAAATTAGTATTTTAATAAAAACAGCATGATGTGAATTAAAAATCTTAGCCTCTCACATTTTAATTACCAAATTTCATGATAGCTAAATAAATTAGATGAAGATAAACAATAGAGCACATTTTAACTTTGGGCCTTTTTCAACACATTTATGTCCTTTATGTTTTTATTTTTTCAGAGAACTATTTCTTGAAGGAAAATATTTCTGCCTCTTTCCACATATCTAATTATTCTGTAGTCATTTCACTACAATTTTGTTACAGCAAAGAAACTGAGTTCAGTGAGCATGAAGGACTAAGATATTGATTTGAGCACTAAAGTCAGCCAAGCTGGAGGAAAATGTTCCTTTCTAAGTCACTGTACAGTTTCTAGACAGGTCAGTGGATTGAGCAATTGAATAATTGTGTTGGGGTTTTTTGATCACTTATGCTTAGATAACACTAATTTTATTTTTAAATCAGTGACACACTGGTATTTAAAGCTTGATAAATTTTAAGATGTTCTCCATCTTACCTTGTTTAATTAACATATAATCACTAGCACATCGTTCATGAATGCTGTAATGAAAATAAAGGAAATAAAGGCTAATTTTTCAATACTTAAGTGTGTATAACATGATAAATTACAACAATTCTTTAGACATGACTTTAAGTTTGTTCACACTTTAATATATTCATTCATTTATTTGAACAAAATATCATTTTAAAGAAAAATAAGATGCATGTGTGTACTTCACTGCTGTGGTAGATTAACAACTAGTGGGCAACTAGCAACACCAGCCGAATGGAATCAGCATGCTACTGAGTGTGGATGGCCCATCTGAGAGTTGTTGCCAACACAGAAAGAAAACTAGAGAGGATGAAGTAGCATTGTTGGTTCTTTTAGGTGGTGTTGCCTCTCATTGCTGTGGGTTCCCCTGGCGGAGCTTGTTGAGCTTCTTTCCTAATAATCTTGGCCGTTATCCTCAGAGGAGCTCGGGGTCTCACTGTTGCTGAGAATGGCTCTGGTTCACAAAGGGCAGGTCTGGTCTTTACTTTGAGCATTGCTTCCTGATCCCGGAGGGGAAGATGTTGTGCTGTTGAATCTCCTGGAGAAGTTTGTTGCGCTGACTTCATGATATGAACTTGCCTGTTCTCCTTGGCAGAGAAGCTCAGGACTTCATTGTCGCTGAGGACGGCTGTGGTAATTTCCTGGGAGCTCTGATCTTTACTGAGTGTTGCTTCCTGGCTCTGGTACAAATCCCTTAGCATACTGGTACAGTTCCTTCATCCCGCTGGCATAAACTTTCTAGCTTCCTCCATTGACCTTTGGGTCTTCCCAGTGCAGATCCGTGAAACAGACTTGCATGAAACATTGGCATAGACTCCAGGTCTTCAACTGGACTCGTGCAGGATGCTGTCCTGTGATCTGGATCCTAGGCTGGATTCCTTGGGGTCTTTAGAGTGTGGACAGATTTCCTGAGCTTTTTGTGTTTGACTCTTTGGGTGACTATTATAATTCCATAAATTGTGTGTCCTATATGTAATTGTTTCCCTTACAAACCCTGCCTGCAACTGTCTTCAGTTCATTCACTATTTTCTTCTAAACATAGGCCATCAGTGAACAAAATAATTACTAGAAAAACAGAGGAATAGTGAGAGCAAGCATTTATATGCCTTTATTATAGGTTTAGCACTATTTTACCCAAAGATGCATGCTATAGTTATCTTTATTTTGCAGTGAGGGAATTGAGGCATAATGACAATAAATAAGTGCCAGAGCTGAGATTCATATGCGGGAAATTTTTCTGTATAATTAGCAAGGTGAGGGAGAATGCAAATTAGACGCATTAATATCAAAGGTGCTGAAAATTAAGATTTCTTGCCTACATGGAATTTTAAGCATATTGTTGACTGGGTGTTGGTTTGAGTATCTAAAAGTTACTCTCAGTATTTCAGTAAGCATCCACTGTGTTCACTTTTGTCATTTTCTCCATTACACCTTACATGTTGCACTCTTGCGTCTCATTTAACTGCCCCGTACCGTTTCCATTTGCCTCTCTACTCTGTGTGTGTGTGTGTGTGTGTGTGTGTGTGTGTGTGTATGTGTGTGTGCATGCGCAAGTGTTGTTTATGTGCTAG